CTTGGCAGGGGCCTCCGTGCCCCCCCACCCCCGCACCCCGGGCGGCCCCGGCAGCCTCGCTACTCACTCGGTGGCGTCTTTCTTCTCCTCCTTGTCCTCCTTCTCCTGCTTGGCCCCGGGGCCCAAGGTCTGGACGCCCTGGGACGTCACCTCCGGTCCGGCCTTCGGCTCCGCCAGGCTGCTGCTGGCAGGCAAGGCGCTGGGGGGGCTGCTGGAGGGGTTGCTCCCGCTGGCTGAGGGGCCCCCGCTGCCGCCCGGCTCGGCCACCGAGTCTTTAGGGGTGGGGTCCACCTTCTCCTTGGGGGCCTCCCGGCCTTTTTCACCCTCTTCGGTTTTACTCAGCAGCTGCTCCACCATTTCGGGGTTAGAGCTCGATTGTAACTGGGGGGGAGAGAGAAAAAGCTATTTTTTTTGGAGAGGGGGAAACGGATTTCCTAATCTAGGACTTACAGAGGGAAGACCCTCGTCTGGGGGGGGGGGGGGGGGGGAAGGGGGGGGGGGCTGCCGCCAGGGTCCTTACCCTGAAGTCGTTCTTGAATTTCTTCAAATCGTCGATCTGTTTTCTGTGTTCTAGAACAGCCGGAGAAACTCCTGTTGGGGGGAAAGGGGCGCGTTATCCCCCCCCCGGCTACGCCCCAATTTCGTTCACGCGGCCGTGGGGAGGGGGGCAACGGTTGGTCGTTTTTTTTCCCCCAGCTGCCTCCTAACTCGAAATGGCTGTAAGGGGAAGGACCCCCTGCACTGACCCTCCCCCCAAATTATTCCCCCAATACTGAGACTTTCCCCAAACGCCGACAGGTACGTTTCCTCTCCCCGCGCTGAAAATGCCCGCGGAGGTGCCCCTCATCTACAGGTTGCCCCCACCACAGCCTACCATGGTGCCCTTTTCAAGGTCCAGGATTATGGGCCTTAAATGGCAGCATCGATAAAGAGAATATTGGTGGGGTCCTTGGTGCCGAGCTGGGGGGTTTTCTTGGGAGACGTTGCATGACCCAACTAGGCAACCTCATCAGTGCCAGTAGGGAGTGTGGGGTTTGCTACACCCCCTTGCGCTGATGCTGTTCCCTAGTTGGGTCATGAAAGGCCTGCAAGGAAACGGCCAAGCTCCGAGAGCCTCCAGCACCCCACAAGCCTCGGCGTGTTTTGCAAGAGGGCCCTCCCATCCATCCATCCCACCCCGACGACTTTCAGGCCAGGCCTTACCTTTGCCTTCCGGCTTGCTAAAATGGGGAGAAGCTTCGCTGGGCTTGAGATGCTCCTTGGCTGCAGCCGGGGAGGAGCCGCCCTGCCTCTGCTCATAGAGCCGGCCGTCTTTTGCTAGGGAGGAAAACCGGGGGTCACCTCAGCTGTGCAAGCCAAACGCCCGGCTGGGTTTCCCACAGGCAGCACACTCGGACAAGGGGCGGCGGGCAGGCAGGAGAGCCGAAGGTTGCCGGGCCACTTAAAAGGCCGCCCAGCCAAACCCGACGGACAGAAGGGAATAGTGTAGCTCAGGGTTGAAACGAGGGGTCCTTGGGGGGTCTCTGAGCTTGGGGGGGGTTTCTTGCAGGCCTTTCACGATCCAACTAGGGAACATCCTAAGAGCCTCAGTGGTGAGAGCGGGGTCCTTCTGCTGCCTGCCGGCTGCCTGAAATTTGGCAGATCGAATCTCACCAGGCTCAAGGTTGACTCATCCTTTTGTCCTTCTGAGGTGGGTAAACTGAGGAGATTGTTGGGGGGCAAGAGGCTGACTCTGGAAACCTCAGAGAGGCAGGTAAAGCACCGCAAAGCCGTAATATAAGTCTGTGTACTGTTGCTGTTGCTTTGCCCTTCCTTCCTTCCTTCCTTCCTTCCTTCCTTCCTCCCTCCCTCCCTCTTCCCTTCCTTCTTTCTCAAGATTGTTGGGGCCAAGAGATTGACTTTGTAAACCGCTTAGAGAGGGTGGTAAAGCAATGTAAAGTGGCATACAAATCTAAGTGCTATTGCTATCATCCGTGCAAGGGAATGCAGCAAACTCCACATTGTACCAATGATGTTACCCAACTGGGTCATGAAACGTCTGCATAAGGCAGCCACTAAGCTCAGGAAGCACCAAGAACCCATCAGTCCTACTTCTCCTTTTCTTCTTCTTTTTCTCCGTAAACCAACCTCCCTTCTAGCACTGATGATGTTCCCTAGTTGGGCCATGAAACGTCTATGCAAGAAAAGCGCCCAAGCTCAGAGAGCACCCAGGACCCCAAACAAACAAACTTTCCCTCCCTCTCGTTGCTACTCGAGAGGAAAAAGGTGGCACTCCAGGCCCAGAGACGAAATATCGGCCCAAACGCTAAGCCTCCCCCAGAAAAACCAGTCGACGCACGTCACGCCTTAACGCCCAAACCGGTTTCTTCCTGCATTAGATCCTCGTCTGAGCCGGGCTCAGCCCTGCGGGAGGCTGGAAAGCCAGCCGGGGTCCTTTTACCTTCGGCAGATGGGGTGCTTGCCCTGTTGGTGGCAGGACTGGCGGGGGTGGGCGAAGCCACTGGCACCGGGGCGGCTGCAAATTCGGCTGGGATCGAGCCAGCTTGGGGGGAGGACAAGGCCGGGCCAGAAGGGAGCCCTCCCCCGCTGCTCTGCCTTGGAGACCGGGGTCTGTGCGCCTTGGGGGACGACCTGGTGACTAGAAAGAGAGGACAGGATAGATTGTTACGGGGTTCCCCAGCTCTTCAGAGGCAAACCTCCCACTGGGATCTAGACCAACCTTGCAACTTTAAGACTTGTGGACTTCAACTCCCAGAATCCCCCCAGCCAGCAACGCTTGCTAGCTGGGGAATTTTGGGAGTTGAAGTCCGTGAGTCTTAAAGTTGCCAAGCATGGCCAGCCTTGATCTAGACAGAGATATCAAACTGGCAGCATGGGGCATCAATGCCCCACCATCATCTGCTGACCAGGGACTTCCTATGACATACGTGATGCCGCAACTGGTATTTCTGGTCACGCGTGTTTGTGGACAGCCTGCGATTCAACCTGGCCCTCTTAGTGGGTCCAGCATCCCCAGCCAGCCTGCCCCAAAGGATTCTTTGTTACAAGGTGTGTGAGAGTGTGTGCACGCTGTGTTCAGGGTCGTGTGTGCCTGGTGTACTCTGTCCCCAAAATGGACCACGGCCAAGGAGGCCGGTCTGTAAATTCAGGGACGTTTTCGACCCCGAGGTTGGGAGCAGGAACATTCCCACCGTGAGCCAAGCTTCAACTTACCCCCCATGACCACCGAGGACCACGTCCCACCTGAAGAGCCGCCTCGGGCCGAGGAGGAAGAGGAGGAGGACGAGGAGGAGGAGCTGGCTTCGCCGGGCACGTTGTGGGAGACGAATTCTAAGCCGCTGGAGATGACGCCTCTCCCCGCCGGGACTCGGTGGCCTCGCGGGTGCCGCTGTGCCTTGGGAGACATCCGGGGGGGTCCTGGAAAAAGCCACACAAGCCCCAAATCGTGAACACCAGGCAAAAGGTCCCTTGACCCTCAGCTAGAGTCCACCAACTGCCTTTCAGCCACACAGCCATGCAGGTAATGCTTCACTTATGACCATTCGTTTAGTGAACGTTCGAAGTTACGGCACCCCTGGAAAAAGTGACTTATGACCGTTTCCCCACACTTACGACTGTCTCAGCATCCCTAAGAGCATGTGAGCAACGTTTGGGTGCTTGGCTTCCAACAAGTGAATTCAACGGGGGAAGCCAGATTGGCTTACAGCCGAAGGGAAAAAGGAGGTAAAATGAGGCACGATGCACTCAAAGTCGCATTGCGACAGAAGTTCCAGTAGCCAAATGCGGTCGTAAGTCAAGGACTACGTACAGGGGGCTTGATCAGATTTAAGGCAAGCGTCTTCCTCCCTTGCAATTCTTTGGGGCTTTGCAAAACGCATTTATGCAATGGGGTCTCTCTTCCAGAAAGTCCAGTTTCAATTGTTTTCCTCTGTGCTTTTTTTTTTTTTTTTAAATAACTCCCCGCAACGAAGGCGATCTCTAATATTTTTTTTCCACAGGATTTCTGCATGGCCATCAGAGGCTGATCCTACCCATCAGCAGGGCAAATCGATCCCCTGCTCCTTTTCAAAGCGTAAATTTAGCTGCCTTTTGGTTCTCTGAATTTGGCTGCCCCGACTGAAACCTTTCGCCAACGACACATTGCAAAAATCATTCAACTCAGCCACACAGACTTTTTAGAAATCACAACTTTAAAGGGAACGCAGAGACCCCACGAGATTCTACCTAATTTTGTCTGTTCTCCCAGAAAACCCATATGCTCTCCCACGGGGATTTGCAGGGGTTAAAATTTGAAAGGGGCCGTTTCTGATGGAATGTGCAAATAGGGAAGGAGGAAAACTTTGCGTCAAAAAGGGTGGAGGAGCCAAAGGTCACTTTGTGAGGACAGAGAGAGAGAGAGAGAGAGACCATATCATCACCTGGGGTGGGGCAGAAACTTACACATCCAAGTCCTCAAATCTTCTGACCTACAATCTCCCCACCCCACCAACCTCCCTCTTAACAAGTGTATTTATTTGATCTCAAAAGCCTTCTAGCCTGCCTTCTGGAAGAAAATTCATACTTCATCATTAAGAGGAAACAAACTGGGTTTTCAATTTAACCCGGTTTCTCAACCTTGGCCACTTTTAAGATGAGTGGACTTCAAGTCCCCAGCCATTGGTCGAGGTTGAGACATGAGTTGAACCACCCATCTGAATGGACCATCCTTTCTGGTTCAAAGGCAACGGGAGCCCAGGTGGCGGCTCCTTAGGGCAATGGTCCACCCGACGTTTGACCCCGTTAAGAAGGGATTGGGGAAGCCGTGAGACCTGGGAGCCACCATCACACCAACGCAGCTCTTATATCTACATGGGCTTATATCTCAAGGGCCAACTCATTCCAGGCTCTTTGGGGCGAGAAGCACCAACCAACCAAGCAGGACGCCACTGGGTCTTCTTCTCCTTCTCCGGCTCCCCTCTGACCCGCCACTCGTGGGAAAAGGGGAAGGACAAGTAAAACACAAAGAACAGAACGACGCAAACTCATGAACAAACAAAAAGAAAACTTTTTTGCGGCATTGGTACCTTCTGAAGACATGCGTTTAGGCAGAGTAGAGACGGGAGCTGGCGAGCCATGGTCAGAGGGGTGAGGCGGGGGCCTGGAGGGCCGCGAGGGGGGCCTGGAGGGCGGCCTTGTAGGGGTGGCTGCCCGTGGTGGAAGAGAGGTGGGAGCTGACTGGTAGCGAGGAGGGCGAGAGGAAGGAGATGGGCAAGGCGATGGCCAGGGAACACCTGACAGAACAAATGATATGAAGAAGGAAAAGCATAAAAACGAAAGCAAAATAAAAATCATGGGA